CCAAATTTCCAAATTACCAAATTTCCAAATTACCAAATTTCCAAATTACTCAATTACCAAATTACCAAATTTCCAAATTACCAAATCACCAAATTACCAAATTACCAAATTTCCAAATTACCAAATCATCAAATTACCAAATTACCAAATTACCAAATTACCAAATTACCAAATTATCAAATCACTAAATTGACAAACTGATAAATTTCCAAATTGTTAAATTCTACTTATGAAAGTACCAAATTACCAAATTACCAAATTTCCATATACCAAAGTTACCTTATTCTCAAATATCCAAAATCCCTATCTCCCAACATAAAATCCCACCCAAAAATCCTAATTACGCCAATGTCAAGAGCCTAATTTATCATCCGTAAAGATCACCCGGCTCGAAAGTGAAATCAGCATAAATAAGAAAGGTGTACGCTAGAGGAGAAACGTGGTTACGATAGTCCCTGACAAACTAATTAAAAGCACGAGCTACCGATTCTCCCTCAGGACAATGTAAAATATACCGGTGTAACCGTGGAATGTAAATCGTGATCGTTGAAACCGGTCGCGTTGGCCAAACTCGGGGCTCGCCTTCGCCTCTGTGTTCGTTTATTTATTCGCGAATCTTTTTGCGCTCCACTCGAATGAACTTTCGCCGTGCGACACGCTGTTACCTCCTCGAGAGATCAACGAAGGGACAAGCCATGAATAAAACGATACGTATCGAGTCACCAGGCCATTTTGTAGTACTACAGGGACCCGGTGCATCCGTGTCTTCTAATGTGTACGATCGGGCCGCATGCATTATTAATACGTTTTCGGCGCGGGACCCTCGCATCAGCGAAACCGAGACTTGTATCTTAAGGCTGATGTACCTCGACGGACCTGGAGACAACTTGGATCACCCTGAAGTTTTCTACAGGATGATATACAAGTTATGGTCCGGAGTACTGATATCGATCCACTAGTTAGCACGTGGAGACTCACTGAGGTGTTTATTTTTGAACTTCAACTAGTTCTTCAACTAGGCTCAATTGGTTAGAATAGAAAAATGCTTCACACGGTTTGGACGTGTACTTGGTTCATATGGAGATTTACTAGGGTGAAGAGGATGAGATTGAAATTATAGTGTTGTTTATGTGTGATGAGAGTGAGAGAGGTGGAGGATGTAGGGTATGCGGTCTGAGAATGTGGTCTGTAATGTGGGCCTACTGTGTAGGTTAATGTTAAGGAGGATTTGGGTGCAGAACTTAATTTGACTATTCGATAACTTAGGGACGTGGTCATTTTTTACTGTGGTAAAGTGGAACATTTGATAAGCTGACTTTTCGATCAGTTGGGCGTTTTACTATTTGATTATTTGACTCTTTCACCATTTGACCATTTGACCATTTGACCATTTAACCATTTAACTGTTTGACAATTTGATAATTTAACCATTTGACCACTTACCTAGTTGACCATTTGACAACTTGACAATTTGACAATGTGACAATTTAACTATTTGACCATTTGACCCTTTGACCATTTAACCATTTGACTATTTGATAATTTGACCATTTAACCATTTCACCACTTGCCTAGTTGACCATTTGATAATTTGACCATTTAACAATTTGACCATTTGACAATTTAACCATTTCACCACTTGCCTAGTTGACCATTTGACAACTTGACAATTTGACAATTTGACAATTTTACAATTTAACCATTTAACCATTTGACTACTTGCCTAGTTGATCATTTGACAATTTGACCATTTGACCATTTGACCATTTAACCATTTAACCATTTAACCAGTTAACCGTTTAGCTATTTGATAAGTTGTCCATTTGATAATTTGACCACTTGCTTAGTTGACCATTTGACAACTTGACAATTTGACATTTTGACCATTTGACCATTTGACCATTTGACAATTTAACCATTTGACCATTTGACAACTTGACAACTTCATAACCTGAAAATCTTCAAATGAATAAATTTTTAAATAAGTAAATTAGTAAACATGAAAAGTTTCATAAACCTATAAACTCCAAACCCATCAATTTCAAAATTACACAAAATATACACTTCCATACAATCAAAATTACACAACATACAAAATAAAGATCTTCGAAGTAATTCAAAAACACCATCATAAACTTGAGAAGTTAATAATTGAATAAACGGAAGAAACACGGCCATTGATCTCTTTTCCTACGACAGATGAAGATTTCTCGCTGACACTCGCTTTCATCCGCTTACGGAATCACCACCAGGCTTAATTGATGCTTGGGAACGTTCTTTTTTTCTCTCTTTTAGCCTCGTTCCTGTCTCGCTTTCCCCCTTGCCCTTTTTCTGCCCGAGGGCAAACGCGTGTGTACGAATTTAAAGAACGTTAACCCTTCGCGGTCGAAGACCGGAATACGCTAGTGCCTTTGGCGTAGCCTCTCCCTCGTTTTTCAGTAAAAATATAAATGACCCGAATGTATTGTACAACCGATTAAAATTTATGAACGAAAAGGTATCTTTCGTCGGTTATCGTGTGTAATTTTCAACGAATTATTTGCGTGTTTCTCGAAAATATGGGGGAGATGTTCATACGTGTATCAGAAATTATCGTTAACATTCTTTAACCAATTATCGTGTACTTTTTTACTTTGCGATGTAGAGGAATCTTTTCGGAGATCAATGTATCTTGATAAAGGGAAAGTTTGTTTTTTTAGTGTAAGTCTGGACAATTGTGTATGTGAGGGCAAGATGTATGTTACGTTGTGGATAGTGATGGGTTTTTATTTGTTCTTTTCTAAATTTTTTATTTTCAAACTTGCGATGTAGAGGAATCTTTTCCTACAAGAATCTTTTGGCAGATCAATGTATCTTGATCGAGGGAAAGTTTGTTTTTTTAGTTTAAGTCTGGACAATTGTGTATGTGAGGGCAAGGTGTATGTTACGTTGTGGGTAGTGATGGGTTTTTATTTGTTCTTTTCTAAATATTTTATTTTCAAATTTGCTGATTTACAAATTAATATAAATTTACAAATATACAAATTTTTAGAAGTTTCAAATTTACAATGTTGCCATCTTATAAGTTAGTATTTGTCAGTATGTTTATACTAATTTTTATATACAAATTATAAAGCATGATATATATATATATAAATATCGAAATGCATTTGTAAAAATTTATAAAGTATAACATAAATATAAATATCAAAATACATTTGTAAATACTTATAAAGTATAATATAAATATAAATATCAAAATACACTTGTAGATATTTATAAAATATGATATAAATATCAAAATACATTTGTAAAAATTTATAAAATATAACATAAATATAAATATCTACATTTGTAAATATTTATAAAGTATAATATAAATATAAATTATAAACGTATTTATACTGCAATATAATATTGAAAAATCTAAATTATGAATAACAAAATAAATTTGTCTAAATAATAGTAAGTCTAAAAATAACACAGGAATATGTTTAAATTTGAACGAAATTAGTGATGCAGCGTGATGTGCTCCACCCTGCAGCTACAAGAAAACTGAAACTGAAGATAAACGATCTATTTAAAGTGATCGATGGTTGGGATAGAACTTCCGGGGAACAGTGAATGCGCTTTGAAAGCTCTCCAATACAAAGAGCAAGGGAGTGCTATCATACCGGTGTTTTCCATCACCCAGTTTTCATGATTCACGAGCCTTGTAATCCCATTTTTACGAAAATTTTGCAAATTTAGATCGCGGTTTTCAGGCTAAAACAACGGTTGC